CACAAGCCTCTCAAAATGACAATACTTCTCGCCCTTTCTTCTGCAATAGTAGAACTAGTAAGCATATTTGAAGAATGATGAATTCAAAAGTGTTCTGATCCAAGCATAAGCGTTTTAAAAATACCATTATATAGAATGGTATGTATTTACTATTATCGTCACACATCAAAGTGAAGTATCACTATAATCTCAAATACAGTGTTTTAAACACCACCCACACAACCTCCATATGCTTAAAGGAAAAGGATTAGTGTCTAGTACGTGATTTTCAAGCAATTTGGCAGAGGAATTTAGGTCCTCTCTTCCCTCCTGCCCTGATCACGTGCACATAGAATTTTCTTAAACCTCCTGAATGCTGCTTACATTATTAAAAAGCACAATACACTAAAATAAATCTGGAAAGAAAGCAAATATATTCTGAGCGTGCAGAGTACAGCACTTGAGTAAAACTGCAGAGATGCAGCTACTCTGGAATGTCAAGTGACACTGCTTCCATTTGAACCAGAACAGACCACAAGAATGTCTAAGAAGGTAAACACAGTACCTGTATAACTTAAACTTACAGTGAACATTTTTGTCTGCAAGAGACTTTCTCAAATGTTGCCAGAAAACACAACATGAAAAGGCCATTACTGTATCCAGAGCAAGCTCAAAAATATTCAAGCAAATACTGACCCAGATAGAAACAACATTCTTTGTAAGTCTGCAATGAGCAATGTGGATTTTGATTTATCACCACTGAACAGAGCATTTTCTTAAGACTGCTGCTTCAGTTTTAAGTGGAAGGCCACATGTTTTCACTGCTTCTGAACTGTAGAGCAAATAATTGACACACAGAAGGTTTGAGAAGTTCAATCCTAAGGGGAAAAAAAGGAATTCTGCCATATTGTGCCAATACAGTCATTAAATAGTGACATCATTCAGAACAAAAAACCTGAAAAAAACTCTAGCAAGAGAATAGAGAAGGTAAAAGAGAAAAAATGAGCCTTATGAAATGGGGAAAATACATCACAAAAAAAAAAATCCACTTCCAAAGCTGTGTAACGGGACATTGCTGGAGAGATAGCAAGTTCCTTAAGAGATGCAGAAGTCTGAATTTCCTGAAGTGTCCCCAACAGGATACACTTATCTATACATTTCCAAGTCTGATGTCTAACAACAAATCCAAAGAACACCGCATTTTTGCACATGCTTTTATACTTAAAACACTGCCTCTCCTGCCTACCCATTGAGAATCTGTTCTCCTGTCTCACCATCTTGTGTGCCAAGTACTACAAATTTCTTTTCTTTATCTTTTGTACATGTAATTCACCAAATTCTTAGCTACCCAGAATAGCTGGGAAGACTGATGTCCTTATCTGTTTTTTAATCCTATCTTACAACTTTTCATTGACTAGCTCTTCTCTATAATATTATCTGTCTTCTTATTCAAACTTATTCATCTTGCATTTGTATGAAAAAGGTCTAGTGAGATTTGTGTCTCACTAGCAGCCAGGGAACAGTACCTTCTGTCTCTAGCTCAAGTTTAAACAAGCATATCGATAAGCTTATTTCCTGTGCTACTGAACAGCGGAGAAAGGAATCACACTCCAAATGCCCCATTCCTGTTTACATCCTTCTCTTTAAAAGTTTCTGTTGCCAAAACACCTTCTTGATGGTGATGAAGAGGACAGCACTTGGATCACTGCCTCTTCCACTTTAATCTTTGTCTCTGGCTTCCCTTTACACTTCAGTTCCTACTCAGATTCGAAGCTCTCCGAGTCAGGACCAACTCTTCAGTCTGTATTTTTATAGTGTTCAGGCAATACTTGGGCTCTTGGGCCCTATCAGCAGCAAGAACAGAAAATCAAGTAATAAATTAAGGGCATTAACAAGGTGTTAAAATTTAGCCTATGTGAGGTCTCTCTAACTTGAAAACATTTAGCTGTCAGATAAGCTGTGCATTGTGGTCTGCCTGTTTTACTGCTGCTTCTCTGAACTCAAGCCACTGAGGCTATGACTGTTCTATCCTGAGCCAAAAAGCACTGACCACAGCAGAACCACAAGTACTCAAAAGTTTAGAATATCGATTTGAAATACACTGTTTAACTGCTACTCAGAAATCAATAGCCACAGTTTTTCAAAAATTCCAGTAAAAAAGATAAATAATTTCAGGTCTCATCTGGAAAAAAGTATAGGAGCATTAAAATAGTAATGTTTTTGACCCCAGCAGTGGAAGAATTTCTATTTTCTCAGAAACTAAAAGGTGGGAGGAAATCAATTTACCTGGCAACAATAACAGAAATGCTTTAAAATTTTTAAAGTTCCATAATGAGGACTAAAAGCTTAAAAGTTAAAATAAATGGCATAACTACGGAGAATTGAAAATCTAAGAACACTGACATTTTTCCTATGATTCATTCTGCAAGACAAAGACAGCCACAAATCACAAATTTCAATAGTTACCAAGCCCTGCATGACTTCACTGTAGCTTTCAAATTCAGAAGCTGAAAGATCTCTTAGGTCATCTCACCCACTCTCCTTTTCAGTTCAGGATTGCTCCCAGTGGTAATTTGCACATTTTTACTCAGAACAGAAAACTAGTAAAAGATGTAAGGTGCTATTAAAGTGAGTGAGGAATCAGGGGAAATTATCAAGCACTATACAGTAATAAAATATGGATAATGAAGATGCTATCAGATTACAGTTTATATGCACATTTACAACCCACTGGGGGTTACTAAAGTATCTGTAAACAAATGTAACTGCTGATTACATGCCTTACAATTTCACAGTTCTGTTTAACATTACAGTTTAGCTGTACATTAACTAGCACTTGCTTAAACACAACTATAATGCTAAACCATGGGTGAAGATTCACTCCACTAAAACCACTTGCTCCAGCAATTGTACTCTAGCAATCAGGACAAATCCAAAAAAATCACATCTTCTCAATTTCACTGTTTTCCTCCTTTTGACACCGCCAAGCTCTTTCTTGATATAGGTCTTAATCTAAAATCTTGACCTTAACTGCCATGGTGTAAAGCTTGTGTCAATTTATTCCTTAGTTCTTTTTCAGCCAGGTTCTTTATACACTTTAAGAGGTTCTCCTCTCATAGCCTGTGAAAATGCCAGACAGAGCCTACTCCAGTCATTCAGCCTTTTGAATGACTCCTCACATATCCCCTAATTTGGATACTTACTCTACTTTGCCCTTGCAGAGAAATCAATTCCTTCATTTTTTCCTTCTTCATATTGCTGTTATCGCCAGATCTCAGTATCTCCCATGCCATACATTCCTAAACCGCATATTAATCTCTCCAGATCTTTACCAAACATCCTAAAACTTCCAAGGTTTCCCTCTCTCCTCTGAAACTTGCAATACTGGAAAAACCTCACAGTTGTAAAAGTTCTGTTTGCTTCTTTTACAGTCTGCCTATGTGAGGGCTGATGATTTCCCTTATCAATATATCTGTTGCTCTCACGTAGCATTCTCTACCAGACAAGCTTTTCTAGCCACTGACATTATCTAGAAGTTTTGTAGAGGTGTACCATGAACGTGAAAGTTTAGGAAGTATTTGAAAGCCAAAAATATGTGACTATCTTTGCACATTGCTCTGAGGGAGCCGTTCAAATTGTTTGCTGAGTTCTATTTCTGTGTTTTCTACAAAAATTAAAAGAGCAGCTTAAGTATGATCGAAGACTTGAAATAGCCTAGACATTTATTTTGCTCATGAGTTTGAAGCCATGCATATGGCTTCATACATACACCTGACTAGCATTAAAAACAAAAAGGACTGCATCCTATGACACTTATTAATAACAGGATGAATAAACTTAATTACAGCTGCACAATTTTACAGCAAGTGCTCAGACAGACAAATGTAACCAACAAAATTAAAAGTTCCCCATTCACTGGAGAATGGCAATGGACGAAATCAATTATATCTTGTGCTGCAGTTTACCCATCAGAAGCCAAGATCCAACACAACTTACTTTTCATTTATGCTCTAATCTTGAGCTGCATTACTTAGTGCCCCCAAAGTAAGTGCTGCTTTTCACAAACAAGTGAGGAGTCCAGGCTTGCCCTGTAAAATAGAGAGGCAGCCAGGGAACAAACAGTATAATTCCTCTCTGTATTCCGTCACTGCACTGCATACCTAACTAGAGCTGGAGGTGTCAGACACTCCTAGGGGCCTACCTTTAGATAGCCAGGTTAGAAAAAGATTTTATCAGTTGTTTGCAACACCCAAAATCTTTATGCAGGCTCTGCTTCTAGGGAAGTGATACTAGCGTATTTGCAAACTAATTTGTCGTACCAGGCCCGTTGAAAAGGATGTGGCTTACAGGCATACCTGCCTATATTTCTAACTGGATTAGAAAATAATTAATGTTTAAAAAGCTTCAGGCATTTTGTTTAATAAAGGGATTAAACATAATGCCAAACAAACCTTTTTCTCATCTGTTTATTTGACATACCTGTTGTTACATGTTTTACAGTTACTGAAGCACAATTAACTAAACCTGAGATAACTGCAAGGCTGCCAAGCACAGTCTATTGTTCACTGCTTAGAAGACAGGTAACTAAAACAGCTTAATTTATTAGAAAAGATCTGGGAACATCAGTGACAGTGGTTATTTACCTAGTCTGAAAGTAGAGCCCCTGGCCAGAAAGAACTCAAAAAACTTCCAGGCTATACTACAAAACCAAGGTTACATATGTAATTAACTGGATGTTCCCAAACTGCCTTGATTCCTAAACATTCCTGATTTTAACCAAAAAAAACCCAAACAACCCAATAAAAAAACCAACCAAACAAAAAACCAACCAAACAAAAAAACCCAAACCAAACCAAAAATACCCCACCCAAACATCCATGTGCCTGTCATGTACAGGTGTGCCCCCATGAAAACAAACAAAAACCTCCAAACAAACAAAACCCAACAACATAAAAAATAAAATAAAACAAAAAAAGCCCCCACAAAACCCTATCAAAGTACACATAGGAGAATGGAGCAGGTCAGAGGATTACTACTGAAAGTTCACATTTAAAGTTGCATTCTATACAGAAATTTTAATAAGCAGGAAAAAACAAAGCCTAGAAAAGGTATGGCAAGAGCTCCGGGGCTCTGAAAAGTATTAGAAATAAAAGCTCCAAGGAATGAGTTAGGGAAAACAAGAGTCAAGTGTCAGTAAGAGAAAGATAAGGGTAGAGCAGAGCTGTTCAGATGAACCGATGCAGTTGAAAAATTCTTCTTACCAACCCTGTTGTGATAAAAACTTACTAATATGTTACAGTATCCCACTGTCTGACACCTCAAGTACCTATCTGCTGTGGTGTTATCTCCCAGTGGAAACTGGCAGAACCACTGGAAGAAAAGCACTTCAATCTCCCACAGACAGTGGAAGTTAGTCAAGAAACTCAAAGAGGAACATCATAGTTAACAGGGGAGCTGAAGAAATTGGTTCAGACAAAATGACAGAAATAGCAGCTTGAAGATGAGATCTGTAAATCCCAGTGACAGAAATGCAATTTGTGATCGAGACAGCTGGTAAAGGTCATTCAAGGACAGAGGCCAACAGGAAAAGAGAAGGACCACAAAGAAATTTTCATTCTCAGAGTTGCTAAGCAAGGGGTAAAAAGAGAGGAAGAGAAATCAGAAACAGTGAACAAACATGATCATTAGTCATTTTTTTCAAAGATCCTGTTTTTCTTTTTTTGACTGACATGTTTTTTAAAAGCCTCATCTGATAGAAAGCCCTACATGTCATGTAAGTTAATCCTTCAGAAGACTGTAGCTGAACTTTTGCAGATATTTTGAAAATTATATTCACATTAAAATGGGTCACACAAAACATGGTCAGATTCCTTTTCTCTAATAAAAAAGAAGACTGATATAGCAACTTAATCACATTCTAATATTATTTACACAGGAAAGAAACTTGTCAGAAGAATGAAATTACCAGACAACATTATCATGAAACCAGAAAGCAGAAAGCTAGCAGTAGGTGTGTTTAGACTAGCAAAAAAGACATGGAAGTGTTGTAAATTCACACTGAAAAGAACTGATTTGCAAAAGTGCCAATCTACTATGCTGGTATTCTAAATAAAACATGTAAGACTTATTTTAAAGAGCTGCTCATGCTCAGAAAATGCAACAGATTACTGCAGGAATTGTTCTGCCTACATTGTGCAAGACATCAGACCTGATGACCATAATGACTGCTCTATTATAACGTAAAATACACAAACATCCTGCCTCTGGCACTCCTCTTATGCCACTGTTATACTTATAAACATTCCATATGATAAACTGAACAAGCTACACATCTTGTATTAGCCTATATGTGTATTCTAAATTAAACTTCTTTTTCCAGAAACAAACCAAGAACACAACATCTGCCTACTTCTACATTTTCACTATTGCATTTGCTATATGTATTGACTCACATATCCACACTCCACACATTTCATTCCACTAAATACTGGAGTAGTTAGAAAGTTAAAGATGGGATAAGGAAACATACTATCCAGGAAACTAATATCAAAATCCTAATTCAGACTTTAGAGCTTCTATTTGTAGGATAAATACGTAATATGAAAGGACATGATTTGCCCTACCTATACTTTGTGGAAGCAATGTATTATCTTCACCAGAGAATGGAACAAATAAACTTTGTGCAATAAGACTGAGCATAAGTACCCTTGACAGAACTGCCCATATGTTTTTATTCATCCCTTAAGTGAATTACAATACTGAAAAAAAAATTTATAGTAATGAATGTAGCCATTTCAGTTAATTTAAAGACTTGTACGAGAAATTACTTTTAAAATGCCCACTAACATACTTAGAACCATTATTCGGGTTTTTGAAAAGTTCATTATTTTTCATGCTTATGAGTAGAAAGAATTAAGGATCTGGCAAACTGTTACTACTTACTTCTCTCCAAAGAATTTCCTCCAGAAATCTGCAGCATCAGCTTTGGTGATACGGAAGTTATCACCCTGGAACTGGCCATTTGGAAAAATAGCCTTGATTTCTGCTAGCATGTGGCTGAAGATGAGAGACAGCTTTGTCAAGTTTCTCCTGTGGATATAACAGAGGGGGGGAAAAATCACATCAAATCCTTAGAACTGAATAAGTTTAATCAATCTTTCAGTATTTCATATATTCTGCATATTTTTGTAATAATCACTGTGTGACACAAGAAAAACACTGAGGTTTCAACTGAAAACACAAAGAAATACAAAACAGTAGTTTGTGTTTCCATGCGCTTCTGAGGATGTATTTATCATAAGTCTTCATGAATATAAAATCATTTCTTTGGCAACAGAACAGATTTGAGTTTTCAACTGCATATTCAGATACCTTTCTTGTGCATTAAGCCTGTGTGTTTCTATTTCATTTCATCATTGCAGAAACAAGAATTTCCACTAATTAGGCAGCAAATACATTAAAAAACCCTCAATTGAGCAAATAAAAACAAAAAACCCAATCAAAAACATGCACCCAAAAAATACAAATTACAGTCTTGTACGTGACATCAAACCTATTTCAGTCCAGGTTTCTAGAAATATAAACACAGCACAGAACTAGATTTACTCCCTTGTCCTATGACAGTTTTAATCTTTTTTTTCTTTCCAGCTTTCTCTAACTCCACCTACTTCCTATTCTCCTTTTAAATGTTCTTCCTTTAGTTAAAACTCGCTTTTAGTTTTCGCTAGCGTGTTAGAAACAAAAATCCAGCTTCTTTGCTATCAGCTCAGTTACATAAGCTTTCTAGACTTGTATCAGTTAATTAAAAATTATTTAGTTTTTTTGACATAGAAATCTCATTTAGTATAATGCAAAGAACCCAAAATCCTTAAATACAAATCACCCTTTTGTATGGAAAAAATCTGTGGGAGATGGTGAGGAGACAAGAGAGAAGGACAAAGCAAACTTTATGAGAATTTATGCCTGGAGAATCTTTAGATGCTCCTTGCAGTAAAAAAAGGGTATTTCCCAGCTAATACATGAAAAAGACACTACATACGAGACTGAAGGATTTGTATTCTTTTAATGGAGTATTTTACTGAGTTATAAGTGGTGTATGTATGTCAAGCCCATTCTCTTTCACCATCTCAGATAGTACTTAATGCCTCAAACAATTTAATGAAAATCACATTAAAATGCATATCAATCATGTAACTTATAGACTGCTTAAAGACAATATTTAATTAAATTCAAATTTATAAATTCTTAATCACATGGACAGATTAAGATAGACTGTTTTACACATGCACACCAAATAGCTTTCAGAACGCTCAGAATCTCAAAAACAGTCGAACATATTTCCTGGGATCTTCCTAAAAGAACACTCAATTTAGCACTGAAGTAGTAATTATTTCAACTAAATCTGAGAACTTATAAGAGAGATTCCTGTGGAAGCTGTGTTGCAGATTTTATTATAGGTTTTACTACCAAGAAAATAATGAAAAAGATTGCTGTTTTGAAAACATAAGTAATTTAAAACAAACAAAGCAATCTCTAATGAATACACTCTCCCTCCCCTCAAGATTAAGAATGCTTGCAGGGCTAATTCATTCAGAGTCCTTTAATTTCTCCAGTATAATCAGATGTCTGTAATTATGATGCTCAATAACTCCTTATTTTCTGGATTTGTTCCTTGCTATCCCCCTTCCTACTTCCTTTGTACTTTAATTAAACACACGTGTTCTTTATTATTTTACTCTTCAGAACTCAAGCCTGATGCAAAGGAGCAAGCAATAGCTATTTTAATGTGGCTTCCTCAGCCTGCCTTAAACCCAAGATTAAACAAGAAGCTTTCTGTACTCAGGACAGATGGGAACATGACTCAGTGCAAGTTTGAACAGAGCTCTGCCTTGACTGGTACAATTAATGCTCTATATTAACGTACTGTGCTGCAGGGGTTCTTTTCAGGTACAAATTCACCCAGTGAGCTTGCTGGACTCATGAGCCCTGTAGTGAATTAGGGGATGAAGTCACAAAGAGGTGCCATCTGGGGCACTTCCTTGCCCAGAGGGAAATATGTGTGTCTGTACGCACATGTCTGTGCAGATGCACTGCCTGTCAGGTATAACTGCACAGTACATGACCAGAACCAACAGCTGGTAGGATCTGGACAGCAAATGCACAGTACAGAGAAGCATCCAAATGATTCTATCTAAATCACAAAGCCTGTTCCTTCCCTCTTCGAACGGCACCAGTCACTAAGTGCATCAATACACTTTTGTTTCATTATACAAGATCATAAAGAAAGGAAAAAAAGTAAAATTATTTTTTGTTTGCATTTGTATAAACAAGAAAAAATGTTTTAATATCAAACTAAGATACCTTCTTTTTATCTGACTGCAAAAGTGGAACTTGAAACCAACTAGAGCCTTATCTGTGCTTGAACATATATTGCAGCATGTACTCATAGCAGAAAATGGCACATTCTTGATAATCTATAGGCAGGGTATCTGGTTTTTTCTTCCTAACTTTGATTCTTACTCTACCAGATGATTATCTCAAGTCCTTCTTTGGTATCAAATAGCCATGATAAATCACGTCTTAACTTTTCACTTATATATTGTTTTCTTTAGAACAGCAAAGCACATAATGAACCATTTTTGCTTAGATATGCTTATGTGATACCAGATCTCAGTATACCTTCTTGAGACAAAGATACAAAGCTCAGCGATTTCAGACATGATTTTCAAGAATTATACAAGGCACAGAGACAATGCCATTGGGGTAGGCCAGTGAGTCTCCCTGTCCATGCATTTCACTTGTCTGAAGATGTCCATCCGTTTCAGCACATGTACTTTTGAGGTCTTGGGGAGGGGCTTTCCTAGGACACCTCAGGAAGCACATACTGCACTTTATCCACTTGGCAGTCTGCGCGGTCCCATTTTTGAAGTTAGGATGAGTCCCTTCTTTCCCCCCATATGAAGGACAAAGCAATGTCAAAAATGTTCCATCTTATTTTCCATTCGTAAGTGTAAGACAAGGTATTTAAGTCCCATTTATTTGAAAAACAAAACAAAGCAACTAAAACAATCAGCTTCAGCATTTTGGTGAAGAATTCTAACAGAAGCCAAAGAACTGTCCAATCTGAGCACCTATTTTAGATTTCATTGCTACCACCAAGCTGTAATGAAACCAGTCTTGATCACCTCAGTCTGTATCTCTTGTAGTAACAAAGGTTTTTCTTCTGGTCACAGTAAAGTCTGATGAAGTCGCAAAGGGACAATAGTACTGACAGGTCAGTGTCACAAAAGAGCTGAGCAGACAGATACACGCTCCTGAGAGACCCTTTGACTCACTAGATTCCAGCAACTGAGGGATATCTTAAGAGATCACTTTGGAGCTACAGCTCAAAAAAGTGACATCCAAATTATAGAGAAACAATGGCTTTAAGGTCTCAGCAGCCAGCCTTCAGAGTCTAAAATTTTAATATAATTTCACTGGCAACCGGGAGCAAGTTAGAGGTTGAATTTCTTTCCTTAGCTCTGCTAGGCCTGGAACAGAGCATAGAGATCTCCTTTTTTTCTGTAGAGAATGGATTTTATGCTGATGAGAAAAGCGTTTTCTTTCCAAAATTAAAAATAAGCAACACTGCTTTATACCAAAGTGAACCGAGATGATCATTCTCCACAATGTAATAGCTACTGTAGTAAAATACAAGAATATTTTCACACTAAATGATGTTATATTAACTGCATTTTACGTAACACGGTGTAGATCTCTTCCATATTACTTGCAACATACTCAACACCTTGTAGTTGGTATTTTTCCTAGGATTCATGCTTAGATTTTGTTACCTTTTTTTTGCCAAGTCAAACTGATGCCATACAGTTCAAACCCCTTGTAGAATTTGATTTCTGAACTACCATTTTTTCAGTCATAGTCTATGATTTGGTGACAAACCTGTTTGCACATGACAAATCTACTGAAGAACCAACATGGTTTCAATCAACCCCAGAACACGAGATACAAAAATTAAAACCTGAATTTTTATTTAGTATAAACTTGTAAAAGTCTACTGAGTCAGTAAAGATCTTTTGTTTAATCAGAAGATGCATTTTTTTAATTACAAAATTAATGTGTCTTTTGGAGTTATACCTAATCAGTAAGATTCTAAAATTCAGACAGTAAAGTCTGAAAACAAGAATTTTGAGTTTATTCACTACTCAGCAGATTTTTATATTCTGAATCAATTTTCTCTTCAAATGCAGGGAGAGGGTTAGGATGCAAAGATTTAATAACTGAAGGACTTTTCAAATATCAGTCACATGCAATTTGAAAACAGGGCTTAATAATGGAAACATTACAACATCTCAGCCACACCAGAGCAGCAGCACCTAGTAAAAGGTCTGAAGCAGTCCTACCTTCCTGGATCTGCTAAACAGGAAAGTAAAGCACGATCAGCATGCAATAAGACAGATAAGTTTTGCCTGTGCCAATTTTATAATCACTGTATGGAAGTTAATTTTACTTGTTGGAAGGCAATATGGTCCAGCAAATAGGACTGCACAGGGAATCAGGCAGTGTCACTTCCCTTCTGCCACTGGCCTGAATTATGAGGTGGGAGGAACACCTGAGTCCAGGCTGTACTGCCTCTGTACGTGGATGAACAGAGCAAGATGCTCGGAGAGCTCCAAATATGCAGCCTATACATAAATATACAAAGTAAAGTGCCCTCCCTGATCCTTCAGAATTACTGGATTCCACAGACAGTCACCAAGACAAAGTCATTTTAGCAATACATACTTGTAATTCACACAACTACTTGAAAATGCATAAACCAACTTACATCCTACAAGGGTATACCATTTCTACTTTCATGTCTGTATATTACTATGACCACAAAAAAAACCTATTTTACAATATTTCTAGGAAAAACATAGTCTGGAAGAAAAGTCTGACTGCATGTCTTTGCAGTTATTGATGTCATTCCAAAAATTAGGTTATTGCTGGATTTCCTTCTTCATTGCTCTAGTAAATCCTTAATCTTTCCGCATCCACATAGATATACTTTGTCAAACAACCACCTGCTGTAATAAACAAAACTTTCCAAG